TAACAGGATAGAAGACTTAAGTGTAGTTCCCTTTCTCATGGGTCTCCATCATGGAAGGGAGTAGAGAGGTAGGAATTTATCTTCTCTTTGGGATGATGATGCCACCTCAGTGCCCCCAGGGAGGCAGACTTGGTTTTTCATTTTGACTATACAAGGTCAAAGGCAGTCAACATTTTGTAGCGCATATTGATAGGAAACAACGTTTCTTAAGAGGACCTTAAGAGGTCCCCAGAAATCCACCCACAAGATTTAGCACTTAAAGATGATGTCTTGACCAATATCCTGAGCAAAGACTACAAATTTAGCATCACGAGCTCTGAAATAAGAAGTGGACATTCCAGCCAGCATCCATGGCACGGGGCAAGGTGTCATGAGTGAGACACACACAAGGGTTCTCTGGAATCAGAACAAGAGGGATCCAGTCTGGACTAAAATTATTCCTTTGGCCAAGCCCTGGGGCAACTTGAGATCAATATCACTCCTCCCTAGTCTTTGTTATTCATAGATATACACATACAAGTATTTAGAGTGAACTGTGTCTCATTCTCATTGTGGCTTCAGTCATTGTCAACAAATACTCTGTTTGGCTTCAGAAAATCCCTTGTCTGTAAGGGTCTTAACTGTCAAGAGGGGCAATACCAGGTGGCAGTATCCTTTCCAGAATGCTGTCTTAACTGGGTTTATTTATAAAGACACAACCTTATATAAGGCCTGAACTTTCTCTGTATCCAGCAGTTTCTCAAAGGAGATGTGATAAAGTATAGCATTTAAAAAAACCAAACAAACAAGTATGTTTTCGGAAGAGCCATATATTCAGTGTTTCCTTTTCAGTGACGTACGACAGACTTATTATTTCTCTTGCATCATATAGAGTGTGAGTTCTTCGGAAGAATGCTCACAGATGAAATACGAGGAGGCATGTTTGTTGGAGTAATGGTATATTTTATGGTCCTCTTCATAGGCAGTTCACCACACGGCTGCTTGCTTTCTTCCACGCCCTCAGGAGGAGAGCCTCATCTGCTGCTTCACCTTCTGTTAAAGGGCTTGCCAGATTAGGTCAGGTCCACCATGGGTATTTTCTCTTTGGTTAACTCAGTGTCAACTGATTAGGATCCTAATCACAGAAGTGTTATCCCACATATTCACTGGTCCTGCCCATCCTCAAGGGGAGGGAATTATACTAGACCTTTATATAGGAATTTGGGGGGTGATCTTAGAATTCTGCCTACCACAAATAGTGACTATCTTTCATCTTTCAAAACATATTAAGATATGGGAGTAAAAAAATCAAATATCACACCAGGGAAAACATATGAAACTGGTAGCAAGTCTTTATTCTATAGTGTCATCCTGTTTTCCTTCTAAAATTTGGACCATTGAACTGTTTTCTGTATTTGGTGTAGGCTTCCCCCAAACTGAACATAAGATTACATTAGGAAAAGTCAACCTGGCATCAGCCATCTGTGGAACTAATACATCCTAAGAAATGATTTGTAAATGGGAACCTGAAAAATTTGGGAAATGCCCAATGCTAAATTGAGGCATCCAAACTCTAAACTCAGAAGAGTGTGCCCATATTAACCTGTCTAAAGATGGGGGCAAGTTAGTTGGTTTTCGCACTGTGTAAAGGAAGGTGGTTTACACAGGGAAATGCACTGCAAGAACTTAGAAAATGGTTGAAGAGGAGTTGTTGAGTTTGATAATAACAGCCACCAAAATCATCTCACTTATTCTCCTGGCTTTGGTTCCCAGATAACGGAGCGATCTTCTCACTTGTGTTTGGTTTTCTAGGTACCACACAGAGAATTTATAGACCAATGGACATGGAAACTCCAGTGTTCTTGAAGATTATATTTCTCAGTAAAAAATAATAGATGTTCTAGTTTATATATTATTCTTTTGCGAATTTGATTAATGATAATTGGCACCCTAGACCAACCATGTCTAGGAATACTAACAGAACCAACCCTTCAGCCATAAAGTTGAGGACTAGACTCTAAATGAGATGACCAAGGACATTGTCATCCCCTGAGACCCTGACTGGCTCCCGGCCTAGACAACAGCTCTGTCTCAACTTTCTCTTACTGAGGCACGTTGGACTGATAACATGCTTTGAGAAGGCAATGTCAGTGACCTTAATGTTCTAAGCCCAAATCATCCGGTGGCACAGGCTGACAACCTGAAGATGTTTTTCAGCTGAAACGAGCAAGTGGTTGCAGCGGTCTCCACAGCAACGGTGTGGCTGGAACCCTTGGGAGCTTTCGGCTGAGGAATAAAGGCAGCTATGATGACGGCTTCAACAGGAATTAATAGCGACCAACTTTTAGGATTAGCCTGCTGGAAATTCTTTATGTTTTTTCTAGTAAACTTAAGTACATGCTGTGATTTTTTTTCAACATGAAACCCTTCTCTTGACTTTTACACAATACTTCTACTCCTTTTTCTCTTTTGGATTTTATAAATGTTCAGCAAATCTTCATAATAGCCTCCATTTAAAGGGTGAGAGAAAGGGGGAAAAAGTGAAGAATTTGTTTTCAGCTTCAGAAAAACATAGGTTTTCATCTAATTTTCAATTCCACATTCCTGAATTTTCTCTTTATTATCTACCTACCAGGCTGCACTTATCCCCAGATTGAAAGAAAGGCGAAGTAAGATGCTAAGGGGAGAATAGTGAACACAAAGAGTTGTTTTGAGTCTATTCTATGAAGTCAGAGCGTTGCTTTTTAAATTTCTCACACTATGGCTACACTAATGCTAAAATCAAAATGATAAAGCTTAAATTCACATCAGGAACTGAAGACTGGGAAAAAATCAGGAGTGCTTTATCACATGTATTCAGCCACGTATTCATAATTTTCCATAATGGCCTACTATTGGGAAAAAAAGGAGTATAAACAAGATGTTTGTGAAGTGATCTGAGAGTGGTCAATGCACAATTATATAACAATAAGTAATATTTTTTTCAATACATTAGTGTCTGGAAATACATATGAAGTAAAGCTGTTGCTGAAAAATATACTATGTTGGTCAGTTTCAATGTTTATGCAGCTCTAAACATAATTATGATTGAGCTCAATAGAAAATAATTTTGTTCTTTTCTCCAGCTTGTTGAGGTCAAATTGGCAAATAAAAACTGTATATATTTCAGGCGTACAATGTGATGTCTTGATATATGTATACATTATGAAATAATTACCATAATCAAGCTAATTAACATATCCATGACTTCATATAGTCACCATTTTATTTATGTGTGGTGGGAACACAAGATCTACTCGCTTAGCAAATTTCAAGTATACAATAGTGTATTATTAACTATAGTCACCATGCTGTACATTAGCTCTTCAGAAATGAAGTCAGAGTCTTAACCACTTATTTATTGATTGCATTTAGAGGTCAGTCACAACATCTCTTGCTTGGTTGTTTTTGTTTGTTTGTTTGTTTTTGGTGAGGAAAATTGGCCCTGAGCTAACATCTGTTGCTATTCTTCCTCTTTTTGCTGGAGGAAGATTGTCCCTGCACTAATATCTGTGACAATCTTCCTCCATTTTGTATGTAGGACACCACCACAGTATGGCTTGATGAGCAGTGTGTTCGTCCCTGCCCAGGATCAGAACCTGTGAACCCCAGGTTGCTGAAGCGGAACACACGAACCACTATGCCACTGGGCCGGCCCCATCTTGCTTGGTTGTTGAAGAGAGCCAATATTGCAGGTATTACTCTAGTAAATGTGAATAAAATATGCTTGACTGGTACTCTAGGAATTGTTCAAATTATTAAAACAATAAGGGAGAACAGGTTTGAGAATAAAATACAAGGAAATCTAGATATGAGGTATATTGATGGTGTTATTATCATATGCAGATATAAGGTCACAGACTGAAGTGAGGTGCCATCTTGGTGAAATAGACTGTGGCCAGGAGAGTAGAGCCAAAGGTGGGGACTGATTTAAAGTACTTGTGACTTATAGCATATACTAAGATTTTCCTTGGGACAATTTATCCACCAAACTGGAAAATTCTTTTCATAAATAAGTGTGGGTAATATTGAGCTAAAGTCACACAGATTTCTTCACATCAGATCTTCTCAGGGTCTTTGCTATGTGTTATTGACTGAATGCTTATGTCCCCCCAAATTCATATGTTGAGTCCCTAACTCCCAGTATGATGGTAGTTGGAGGTGGGGCCTTTGGGAGGTAATTAGGTTCAGATGAGGTCATACTGGTGGGGACCCCATGATGGGATTAAGGTCCTTATAAGGACAGGAAGAGAGCCCAGAGCTCTCTCTGTATGCCGCATGAGGACATGGTGAGAAGGCCGCTGTCTGTAAGCCAGGAAGAGACCCTCACAAGGGAGCCAAATTAGCTGGCACCTTGATCTTGGACTTCCCATCCTCTAGAACTGTGAGAAATAAATTTCTGTTGTTTAAGCCAGCCAGTCTACGGCATTTTGTTATGGCAGCCTGAGCTAAGACAATAGTCTTTACTACGATGCTAAGGTTTACTATAAATTTCTAAGAGGAGTGTGCAATATCTAGTGTTTCTCAAATTTATTTGAATAGAAATCCTTTTTCTCAGAGCATCTGGGGGATGGTGTGGGCAGAACTGCCCTGAGATGAGGCAAGAAAGGCCCTTGACTTGGCACCTATGCTTTAGAGGCCCCAATATGATTCTCCTCTAGCTGTGCCCCTTCCCACAGGGCCATGGGGATATTCTCACCCAGAATCATGGTTCACCCCTATACATCTTGCTACGGGCCTGTATGCGTTTCTATTGCAGCTTGTCCTCCTGAGAGTGGACCCCCTTACACATAGGCCTGGGGATGGCCAACAGGCAGCTGTTTGCGGAGGTTGGGGACAGAGCTTGGATGTGCATACTACTGTACCCACACGTGAAGCCTCTTCTGGTGTGCTCTGGAACCAAGGGTGGGAAGAGAAGGGAGATGGCTGGGAACAATGTCACCTTCCACAATCAAGTTCTAATGCAGAATGTTGTGGAGTCT